GCTGGCCGCGCTGGTCCGCGACCGAGAAGAGCGTCGGCCTGGTGAGGTGGACATCGTGTGCTTTCGGGCGCTTTTTGTGGGGATAGCATGTCCCATATACACGACCTGTCTGGGACTGTCTAAGACAGCCCACTCAGACACGACCTGTCTGGGACGGCCAATATATATATATATATATTATATATGCTGCTCCAGAAAGACACACACACCCGGTCACCACCACCCTAATTGATCGGCAGTCCTATATGGTCCTATGGCAGTCCCAAACAGGTCGCGTCTGGGAGATGACACCAACGCCATCAGGAAACATCTGGACACTGTGCGGCGTTGTTGAATCCTACATCGAATCTGGCTTCCCAAGCCCTCTCTCTCCATCTCCTGCCTTCCAAGTGTCTCTTCCGGCTCCTGCGCGCCAACGACCGGGGCGGTTGGTTTCTTGTTTCTCAGCTGCCTTGGTGTGTCTTATGTGCTGGTCCTGTATTGTATGAACAATCTCTTGAGCATGTTCCTCAAAGCCTTTTAACAAACCCCGGCCCAAACTTTTGCTGCTAAAGTGATGGACAATGTCACCAACCTTGTTCGGTTCAGCTGGCTTTTGAAGATCGAATCCAACCGCTATGAACAACACCATTTGAACATACAAACACATCATAACACATCCCCAAGTCTTGTTAACAACAAAAACACATCGACTACCACCATGCAATGAAGGAGCTCGAGCTGATGCTTCATCCTTGCCATCATGGGGCTCCTCGCCGCCCTCAATCCCTTAGACCCGCGTCGCGTCTCCTGGACGTACACCTCCCTAATGCGCCGCAGCGCTGGGGCCGAGCTCTCATAGGCTGCCAGTGTCAAGTTGGCGTCCAGCAGCGCGCAGCGCGCCACGGAGAAGCCGGTGGTGGAGCGCAGGGAGGTCTAGGCCGATGGATGGCAAAAAGAGCAAAACTGCAAGGACTAGAATCCAATGTGCAGGATTCTTACAACGAACTGTTCATGTCTTGCAAGCAATTTTATCCATGAAAAAAATATGGATAAAGGCCAGGTGAATCTTTCATGTTCCCAAAACTGAACAAATACTATCTGAAGAAAAACAACACGCAGGTCTGGATGGCGAAGCCTGATTCACCACTAGCTTTCTGGCCATATTTGCCATGATCACCTGACCTTGTTACCCCCCACAACCAGTCCCAGCCGCCACGACCTCACCGCGTGCAGACACGAAGTCCTGCGGAAGATGGCACACCACCCCTGGCAGCACCGATCTTCGCGGCTGCACCGGTCTCAAGCGGCCATACCTGAGGTCTCATGCGGTGGGGAACGAAGAACACAGGGAACGTATAGGACATCCGGAGGAGGAGGAGGAGGAGGTGGAGGAGGTGGAGGAGGAGGTGGTGGAGGAGGTGAAGGAGGAGGTGGAGGAGGAAAAGAACGGCCTCTCCGGGACAGGTTGGCAGATGTTGGGAGTTTGATATGAGGGCGGAGGGCTGAGAGGTGAGGAGGTTAAGAGGTGAGAGGGCCGAAAAGGCCATGAAGCTCCAGGCATGATGAGGGAAGGTGGCATGATAAACCGTATGTCACAAAGCCATGAAGCTGGGAGATGTCTCCCTCTGTTTATCGAAGTGTCATCTGCAGGATGATGCGCGAGGTGCCACATCTGAAAGTGAATCATGAAGCATAAATGCCAAATGCAAACCTGGACCCTCCTTCAAGTACCTTAGAAAATGGGACATGACGTGACATGACCCCATACAAAAAAGGTACGACTGGTATATCATATACTTGTACCCATTTTCCGAGGTATGAACTGAGACTCCAGGAAGACAAATCACATGAAGCCTTCAAGGTGGATCGACACAGTTCTAGTCACTATCGATCTGTCATTCACCACAAATGTTTTGTTGCAGAGTCCGACTCCGAGTCAGTGCACACCGCCTACTTCCTTCCTGTTCATCCCTGGCTTCTCATTCCATCCTCCACTCATCTTCACACCCAGTCAATCACCAAAACAACATGGACTCAGCACTGCCCCAGCCACACGAAGCACTGCTGCCCACGCCCACTGCCGCTCTGCGCCATCGCTGACATCGTGGCACCACCGCCCTGGCGGAGCTCCGCGATGAGGCAAGCCACGGCGTCGTCGTCGGTGGGTGGCTCGGGTGATGCTGCTCCAACAGCCTGCAGGGAAGCTGGAAATGACCAAGGGTGGCCCGAGGTTCTTGTCACCCACGGGCCAATGAAGCTCCAGAGTTCCGTCCAGATTTCGCCAAGAAGAAAGGATGTACCAAAATACCATCCAAAAACATATTTAAGACACAGGACATCCAAAAACATCCAAGTTGCTTGATTATCAAACATATGAGCAAATCCTCCACACATGGCCTCCTGAAGCTCTTCACTTCGAAGCACCTCCACTACTGGCCCCGTGAGGGTCTCCGCCACCTCCGCATCAAAGAACCAGCTGACGTCCTCCTCCGTGTCCGAGGGCTCGGGTGCCGCGGCCGGTGGCGCGGTGCTCGGTGGGGCGGATCTCACGGTGTCCTGGCCACGATCCGCAGCACCTGCCAGGGGGTGGCCGGACACAAGACTACACTGCTAGTCTGCTAGTGGAAACATTCTGATCTTTGGTCAGTCCCAGGCCTCCATCTCCACCTGTGCTCAGCTTCTTCAACCTCATCTCCGCCACCTCCGCCGCCCGCCGCAGCCCCTCCGCCGTCCTCGCCGCCTCGTCGTGATCGCCGACCAGCGCGGCGGCGAGGAGCGCCAGGCGCGCCTGGCTGCGGCGGCCAAAGTGGGCGACGCCCTGCAGCGCCTCGCGGAGGAGGCTCAAGGGCAGGCGATCGCCTCGAGTCGACACAAACGGCTAGACCGGTTGGGGTGTTGGGAGAGTTGGACCAGAAGGGGGGTGGTGGTGGGAGTGCACCAATGCCAAGGTGAAGATCGGGTAAGAAGTGGGAGACATATATCCTTGAGGCCAAAGGGGGTGAACGAAAGCTAGCCGGGCGGGGAGGCGTGCGCAAGCAAGAGCAACTTCAGCTAGCTGAGGCTAGCTTTCGTGATCACTGGGTGGTAGTATGTTCTGGTAGATTGGCTGGCAACTTTAGAGGCTTTTCAGTCGAAGTGGGCAGTGATGAAAGGCTGCGTAGGATGTGATGATAGTAAGAGCATTCACTCAGAAGCTTTGTAGGATATGGTGCACAATCACGTGGGTTCCAATATAATAGAACGTGATATTGCTGATATTGCTGGACGGTAGAGGCAGCATCTCACATAATTCTATGCCAAAACCTAAACCATCTTGCTGTCGATAGTGAAAGTCAGCCCCAAAGCGGGCATTAGAGGAAAATCCCTACATCTGCAGAGCTTCTTTCCTCAACAAAGTGATTCTTGCATCTACATTGGGCTTCATTCACCAACAGTCAAACAGTGCCTCAAGTTGATGTTTCGTCCATCCCCAGCCTGCTTGAGCATCAATGATCTCCAAAGGGTCACACGAGATGCAACCATCTTCCTGGAGGATTTTGAAACATGTCCTTAGATGTTGGGTAGATCCCATTGCCAGGGCCCAGTGGATGATGATGGTTCAGTTACAGGCCTGTCTCAAAAATAGTGCATATAATTATTGTTGAAACTGACTGTTACTGGTAATGGGCTACACCCAACTTAGATGTGTGTCATTTCTTCAGCAAAATCCTTCTGCGGTCGATCACAGCGCTTTAGTGGTTGGACGACTCTCTAAAACTGGGGAAAAGCAAAGCAAACAAAGCAAACATCCTATTGCAGTGCGAATGCCCCCCCTCAATATTGCCGCCCCGTCCACATCTCGACTGACCAACCTGAACCCAGCAGGAACTATGACAAACATTTCTGCACACTGATCTTGGATCCAGGTCTAAAAGCGCTGCATCTACCCAGACATACCCAAACCCAACAGCACCCAAGAACCAACATCATTGTAGAAGCGGATGATTGGGAAGCCCTATCATTTGGGATCTTTCACATGTTGCAAGATCAATGTCTATTCGTGATTCGTGATACTCACAACCCAAAATACACCTCCCCGCAAAGCACTACACCTCCCGCACTCTATCTTGACCATGTCCATATTCCAAAACACATCTAAAAAGTCCTGAAACCACACGTGTTGCTCCTTTGTTCCCTTTAATTACCTCAGTTTCTGGCCACAGCAATATGCTCTTAAGTATGCTTAACCCCCTTGCCCACAAGCCCCTGATGAAGCGCTGGATGCGGGGTTACACGTACGCGTGAGGGCTTACAATACTGTTGAGGACGGGGCCCGCGGCGCCAAACCTTTGCACATGCAGCGTCTTTGAAGCAGCGAAGGGTGCCAGGGAGACCGCGACGTCTTTGAAGCTCGTCTCCATTTCCATACTCTCGGCGACATGGCGGTCCCAACGTGACATGCGACATGGAACGTCCATGCAGTAAAGCCTCCAAGGACCTGTGCTGTACATGTGAGGATAAGCTTATCCCTAGACTTCCAAGACCTTTAAAACAATGGTGGACCTGGTTTTTGTAGTGTAAAATCCTTAGTTGATTCGGTAAAGCCTATTAAATTAATGATTGTTGGACGCCTAGGGAATTATTGTCATTCTGAGAAGGGTGCACTTTGTTGAACAAAACTCAAAGACACAAAAGTCCGACCAAGTCATTACAACTCAGGACAATCATCACTCCACAGGGCAACTGATTGTTCTTAAAAAGGTGCCCAAACCCCTTCTCGCAAGCATGAATCTTCCAGCAGTGTTCATTTGATGTTGAATCATTTGCGGGCTTTGCTGCAAAGCCACTCATGGCCATCCCAAACACGTCAAAGCCATCCAATTCCACAACACCGACCCAGCGCAGCCTTGCAAAATCAAGACCATCCACATCCATCCACTTAAAATAAGTAAGTTACATTACTAAAAGAATTGTATACAAACAAACACATACACAAGATTACAAAACCCCATTAACCACATCATCTCCAGCTCCAGCTCCTGGGGGAGTTCGCGCCCCGCCCAAAAGAAGCGCATCAAGCCATCCGAGTCCAAGGCTTCCTGCCGGTGCGGCACCGAAGAACACCCGTCAGAGATCCAGAGAAAGAGAGAGGTGAACAGTTCTAACATGCGGGAGATGGGGAAGGGAGGGGGATATCCTCCTCTACATCGAGCCGGGCGTCTTTTTTGTGGGGTGCCAATCCAATACGGTATGCAATTGGGGCCGCCAAGGAAACCACAGCGAAGGCGAAGACACGTGATCAAAGTGCTCGCCTTCATCACTCAACCATATGCCATATGCCACATACCGTGCCCAAACTGCTCAAAGACAAAACACTGGCAAATCACAAACAACGCGAGAAATCATACCAATGCCGAAATCACCCTAAAAAACCAGAACCACCCAGGTCGGGTAGACTCATAGACCCTCCTGAAGATGCATCCGTTTCATCCAATATATATCCACCCGAAATGGGTGGTGCTGGTACATCAGTGTACGACAAAAAGTCTATCTTCATGACATCGAAACATCCATCCGTCCCACCTGTGCCAGCGCGAAGCCCAAGGAATCGCCGGCCAAGCCTTGCAAAACGGAAGGAAGGGACTAGACTCGAGTCCCAAAGAGCAACTGGGATAGGATCGTCGAATTCTCCATCTGATCTGTGTAAATATCCTTTCGCGACTAGGCTGTGAAACCCTGAAATCATCTCTACACTCCCTGAAATCATCATGGTTTCGTGGAGTTCACCAACGGGTTGACATCGGAATATGTTCCAAGTTGAGTGATGTTTCCCAAGCACCACGCCTGAGACAAAGATGGAGGCAACTTTTGTCCATCTGTCCATCCTTTTTCATCACACAACAGCCAATCAATACAACAAGGGTCTGTATTTGATTGGCTCTGTTACATTCTGCTACCCAACAACCTCATCCATTGTAAACATGCAAATGTCAAAATTATTATGGTTAACATCTTGAAACATCTTGAAACCAACACCTAAAAGAACATGGACACACACTCCAAAACATCAAATGTCCAAACCCCAAAACCCTGCAAGAACCCCCTTCACAAAAAGGATGCAAACACCCAAAGCAATACCTGAAAGAACAGAAACTGGACTCTAGAATGCTCCAGACCTTGCAAAAGCTAGAGACACCTGCAAGAAGCCATTCCAACAATTTCCTATAAATATCACGTCCCGAAAACCAGGTCCCAGCTCCACCTCCTCGTCCACCTCCGCGCCACACGCGCCTGTCACCAGCGCCTTCAACTGCAACGGCAGCTCCGGCGCCACATACGCCACGCGTCGGCGGCCGCAAAGGCCTCCAACGGGGAGAAAGCGAGGGAGCGCCACTTGGCATCCATGCAAAAAATAGAATCGGCAAAGTCTAATACAACCAGCACCTTCCTCAAAGGTGTTTCCTGGCTGCAATACCCTACTATATAATACTTGTGGATCTCCACACAGGACACCCCGACATGAAGGTCTAATATAGTTCGCGGATTATGTTTTTTGGAATTGAAGGTCGCGAGCCGATGGTGCCCATGAGGGCGCAATCAAACTAGAGTAGGAGGCTTGTTCTAGTGCAAAAGGAGAGTGCAAAGCACCACCATGAACCAATCAGTCGAGTTTCTCCTAGTCTGACAACTGTTCTAATCATAACAAGCAACAACCACCCCAAGAGACAGTGGTTTTTCCACCATAGATTGTTCTGTTGCAAAGCTTCCGGAACCCCAGCCTGGGTGTCCCAAACCCAGCGCCTGCCCGGTGTTTAAAAGGATAGCCTGTTTAAAACCAGTTTGAGGCCGTTTCGTGCATCTCCCCCCCTCCAAGGCGCCGATGAAACTCAGCGGCACCAGCTCTTCGGCAGCTCCGCGCGAGCTACGACGCTCCTGGCCGAGCGACCGCTGCTACGCCGCCGGCTTCCAGCGGGAGCACGACCGGACGACCTCTGAGGTCCCCCAAAAAAAAACCGGTGGAAAGGGCGCCCATTCCACCCGGCGTGAGCGGCAGAACTCTGATACCGGTGAAACCGCATCATGGGAAATGGGACGCAGCATCTGTCAACAAATGTTCCAAAAAAGCACTCGATCTGTGACAGCATCAATTCGACAATACATATACAACACCAACAGATTCTAAGGGAAAACCTTGAACACCTTGCCTCTGGAGCCTCGGGTGGCGGGGTCGCAGCCACACTCTCCTTGGGCGCGTCGCCAAATCGGAAGGAGTCATGACTGTCATTGGAGTTTCAGACTCAAAACGATCTAAAAGTTATGGAGTTTCATGGGTTTTCATGGAGTTTCACAGACCCTGAATGACTTTCAAGTTTATAAAGGGATGATGGTTGGCACATGTTGGCATCAGAACTCGAACTGGTCGGTAGGCTCAACATGACTTCAGAAGTTTCAGTCTTGAGAATCTCGAGGATGTTTGCAACTTCTAGATTTTAGATGATTCTATAGGTTATCAAAGGGCTTCGGCCGCTTAGCAGGTGTTGAGGATGTGTGACGCAAAAGCCATTCTTCCAGGAGACTATTCCACGTACCTTCCTGGGTGGGAAAAATGTGACAAACATCCTGGCCCCTCAGTGCCGGAAGATGTGTTGATCGGATTGTTTTCAATCCGAGGTTTCTGAGTACTGTAGAATCTGTAGAATGTATGAATCTGTCATAATCCATTACTCGCCCATATAATATGTGGCAAATGCATGAAACATCACCTGTCGAGGTGGCTTGACTGAGCTGGGTGCGAAGGTGTCGAAACGGCTTACACTTGCAACCATCATATGTGGATGGTATGGCCCCATCAAGGGATGACCAGCAAGGAGCGAGGTCCTTGGATGGCTACACTTCCACCGGGTAAAAGTTCGTGCAGGGTACACGGCCTGGAAGAGGTCCACATGGAACCTGAAAAACCACTGGGTTTGTAGAGGAAAATCGTCTTCCAGTCTGGTCCATTTTTGAGGTTCCATGTTCATTTTCCCGGGTGTATGGATTTTACAGAAGGTGCACGTGGCCACCCCAGAAGGTGCACGTCCACCTCCCTCCGCGCCCCTGGGCCACCATACAGCTGGCCGCGGTGAGAGATGTCTCCTCGAGGGGGGGTCCATCCAGCGAGTTGCATGTGCTTCTTGCGGGACTTCCTGAGGTGCTTCTTGCGGGCTTTACTGAGATCATTTGAGGGACTGTTGGTTCAACCAAACTAAGGGCAAGGAGATTAAGAGAAGGTATCGTGACTGGTATCCTGATGTTTCTTATATTTGTTTAACTTTGTTCGTAAAGAACCACATCCGAGCTACAGCTTCATCACGAAAGGATCCACTGACTTTGAACTCCTCAGGAGCTCCGAGGCAGCGGCAGCCACATCACCTCAACACTGCGGGATTGGGAGTGATCGGGAGCTTTCTGGGAGCTTTCAAAGCTCGCTGGTCCCCGCAGCTATGCTTCATAAAGGATATGTTTCTTTGGAATAGTTGGGTTGGATATCCGTAATCAAAAGATTCCTTCAGGTGTTGCTTGGAAAAGCAAGGCTTCACTGGTGTCACTTGTTCATCGTCACTTAGTCGACCAATCCCAAAGATCACTGTTGTGGCTTAACTTCTCGATTCCGGGGCGAATCCAATGCGGTTCGAAGAATGCTTGACCCCAAAAACCCGCAACTGACCTAGACCTAGACCTAGACCTGCTCAAACCTACCAATGGGGTGCCTGTGGAGTGTTTAACAAATATGTCTTATAACTTATAACTATATTGCACTATGACATACTATGACTCAAATTCAGAACTGCCCTTAACCGTGCTTGCCCAAAAATACCACCCATGCTTCTGCACGAGACCTTCCAAGAACTGATGAGTCATGCTTCTCAACACTTCCCTCCGCAACGCCGCAAAACCATGGAAACTGATGACCGTCGGGCTTCCCTGCCCAGAAAGCGTGCCAGGCTGATGGTCTCGAGCTCCCCCATTTCCGAGCACAGCAAGGGTAAGACCTGCCGAAAATACGGAGGTTCTCGGAATCCAGCCCTCTGACTGCCAGGGAACCTGGAAGTCAAAAGAGGTCAAGGTTCTGGTCTTGCGCTCCAAAGACGGAGGTCAAATAAGCACTATCGACAGTCAGTTTGGACCGTTTAGTGCCTATTGGTATCAGTTTGGTACCTGTTGGTTGTGCACTTGGGGGCATCCCCTCCATCATTCAATCCAACCAATTGTGTCGTAAAAGGTTTTCCAGGGTCTTGTTCCAGGGAGACCCCGGGAGCGGCGTCTCGCAACGAATCCCTCACTCGGAGAACGACGAATCCCCTCAAAAGATCGTTGGGACCATGCCATCCACAGTTTGGGGGAATGTAATGAATATTTCTATTTGATTCTGCCTGTCTGTATAGCTTTCGAGGGGTGCTTGACACTTGACTCGCTTGACGCCACATTCACATGATGTCGCCATGGAAAAACGTCTTGGTGTGTGATGAACGATTCTTGGCCAATAGGAAATCTGCCAAAGCGGCTCGATTCACTCTTCTTCCCTAGCTGATCTGCAACAATGCAGGTCTGGTGGCATAAGAATCCTGTATCAATCTGCATCACCCTGTCGATCCAATTGTAGTTCAAAGGCTAGTTTGACACTCAAGTCTGAACACACTCGCAGATCCTCAGTTCTTCTGAAGGAGGCACGCGGCAAGGCAGCCGCATGACTTGTTCTTCAATTTTCCGCATTGGCCTTTCCAACTTGGTTTCAGCTCCTCTGCTTGCACGGACAACGCCTCTCTAATGCTTTGCCTGTCAACCAGTCAACCTGCTGCGGCACATCTCTCGTTGCATTGCTCCTTCGCATCTGCACCCTGCACCACTCCATCCTGCTGCTTCTTTCACCCGCAACTCCATCCATGCGCTCCACTCGCTCCGTTGGCTCGCTCGTTCTCATACCTCCCTTCGCTCCAAACCGCGGAACCGTTAAAAAGGACCGGTTCCCCGGTTCCCCCCCGGTGACCGAACACCTCCCGCAGCCGACGCCGCAAGGCCCGCGAAGGCGGGCAGGGAGGCTGGGGAACTACCAGTACTATATGGTACTATAGTGCTATAGACTATATAGTCATCAATCATTTCATTGAAAAAAAAAATGCTGACTCATCTGTGGTTCGTACTTTAAGCTTTTGCCCTCCCTGAAACAATCATGGAAGTGGGCCATGCCCTGTTTGCAAAGGAAACATTGTCTTTCCAGGGCTGTGTTCCACTGCCATGATTGTTTCAGGGAGGGTACACGTTTGTATACTGATACTCATCTGACGGAGATTGAGATGGAGTATTCAGGCAACTGTCCAATGCCAGGTCTCTGGTCCGGTCTCTGGTCATCGCATCGACCTGCTGAAAGTGGGACATCTGGTCTCCAAAGATCCATTTAGACCCAAACACGACCCATGGGGCTGCCATAGGAATGCCGGCCGCCCCAGAGGTCGACCCCCCGGTCACCACCCCAACTGATAGGCAGTCCTATGGCAGTCCCATGGGTCGTGTCTGGGTATGTGAGTCGAGATGCTGATCATCGGAGGAGAGAAGTGTTAGTCCAGGATATCATTCTTACTCAGATTTTGTGGGGTCAACTTTGGACAAGAGGTTGCTCCACCTCAGACGCCAAACAAGTCTACAAAAGCGAACCTGTTCGATTCCAGATCATTCCAGTGTTTTCTCTATCCATAGCGTTCCCCCAACAATCAAATACAATCAAACCGTGGGGATCCAAGCAGCTCCTTAGGTGTTTGGACCCAACACTAGCTACCAAAAAGGTGTCTCCTGGCTCACCTTCTCAGAGACTATGAGGATCTCAAAGACTATGAGGCTTCCACGTCTGGCGGAAGCGAATCGAACCGCCTCTTCCAAAGGATCCGCCAGCACCACATGGTGCAAATCCGCCTGTGCGCGGACCGCAGCACCTGCGAGAGGATGGGCATGAGATGAGATTCCAGTGGACTGGCGGGTAAGGCAAGGGTAATGCTTGGGCTGTGCTTCAACAGTTCAACATGCCGGAAACTATGCAAATTACAGTGGTTTCAAAGTAGATGGCACAGACCCCTGTATGAACCCCCATGCAAAGAACATCTTGAGGTCTGTGCCATCTACTCTGAAACCGCTGTAACACCCTCTGAAAAAAGGATCACTCACCTTGAGCTTGTGGCTCAGAGGCTCAGAGTTGCTCAGAGGTCCTTCAGTTCTGCCAGTGGACTAGGTGTTGAGCTTGTTAGTTCGACAGCTTCGTTGGCTCAAAGGGCTCTCAAAAGGGCTCTCAGGTTTGGCTCCCCGTGAGGTTTCTTCCAACGAGCCAAGACGAGGTTCTGGGTCCCAGGGCGGATCCCAGGGCTCAACAGGTTCGGTTTTGCTGAGCTTCTCTGGGTTTTTAGGGGGCCCAGGGGCCCATAGATGTTCCTCCTGACATGACGGCCACATGCCTGTTGAGCGACTGAGAGACAGACCGGAGATGGGGAGATCCCTCCGCAGCTCGGACCCCAAAGCATTCTGAAGGCGGACCCCCCAGCGGTAGAACAAGAACAATTAACCAGGGGTCACGTTCGACGGGGTGGTGTTTGGGCACCCCTTTGTACCTCCATGTCTAGCACCCCTGTTGAAACTCTTGGAACGTGGAATTTCTGGAAATCCAATCCCCAAACCATCCATGCATGACATATATCCTGCAGTCACAAGACGGGGTGCTATCATGTGCTATCCATGGAGGTGGCTGGGGTGTAAGGGGACGAGCCACACCACCCCGTTGAACGTGACTCCTGGTATTGACCCTGTACATTGACCTATCAATGACTGATCCGGCCATCTCTTCCAGTCCCATGGACCCTCGGACGACTTCCCCCGGCTCGCCTAGTGCCAGTGCCAAGGTGCCACGGCTGAGGGAACCTTCTTGCAAGGCATCCCAGCTGCAGAACCTCATCGCCAGCTGGCGATGAAATTGCAAAAAGGATTCGGCAGGTCAGGTGATTCGGCAGGTCAGGTGAAAAAAGATCCATCGCAGAATATCGCAGAATCAAGTTTTATTGAATTTGGGGTTTGGTCAGTATAAACAGTGTTGGAACTCTTATTCTGCAGGTCAACGCAACATCACTTGAACGAGGCTCCACAAAATCTTCACAAAATCCATCAAAATCCTAAGTCAATGGAGAGAAGTGGGAAGTTGGCTAAACCATCATGGCTTGGCAAGTACCCACAGGGCAATACTCAACCATGCACACAAGTGTCGCCAAAGAAAATTAGAATCGCATCCAAAACCAGAATCAACATGGTCTGCAGTACACTCCCTGAAAAAATCATTGAAAACTATATGGAAGTGGAACATCATGACATAGTGCTCTTGGAAGACCAATTTTCCGACTACCAACTACCAAACCAGTTATTTCTCTACTTCCCTGATTACAGGGAATTAAAAAATGACTCGAAGTCTATACCCCACCCAGGTCTCTACCTGCGGAGCTCACCCAACCTGGGAGCCCACCCAGGTCTCAACTGCCAGGCAGCCAACTGCTCCAACCTTCCAGGGAGGCCTCCGCGAGAAGAACGTTGAGCGGCTGAAAAGTCACGAACCTGCCAGGACCTTCGGTCGGGGTGGTAGACATGAACACCCCGTGTTCTTCAGCGTTCAGGGGCTATAAATAGACACCCCCACGGTGTCGGGTCCTGGTGAAGAGCATTAGGTTTTAACGGTCCATATATGAGTGACATCGGGCCTGATGGTGTGAAGGCCAATGGAACACGTGTTTGGTACCTTATCACTGGGACGAACACAAATGACAAAGATGACACTTTCCAGAGATGACAGAGATGTTGACATAGTACATAGATGTATTACGTTTAGTTACATATATTACTAGTACATATGCATATACTGACCTCACGTCTCACCTCACCTCACGTCTCCTGATTCCACTCGTCCACCCCGCTTCGCTGCTTGCGCATCCCATTGGCTCCGCTCCGACACTGCCTCGCCTCGGGCGACAAGGCCTTGGGTGCCCAGTGCAGCGTCGCGAGCGTCCGCAGCGTCCAACGGGCGATGCATTCCAAGGACTCCAAGTCCTGCGACCGGCGACCGGAGCGTCCCAAGGGTTCGGGTGTTCGGATTCGGTTTGCGTTGTTGGTTGGGGTTAACCAGGTTCGGGTTTTAATGACTATAAGGTTGTAATAATAACTAGGTTGTGTGTTTTTTGTTGTGGTTTGTATTACATCTCGACTGCTATAAACATTGACTTATATAAGTCAACAAATCTGGACACATCCATGACTCACAAGTCTTCAAATCGTATCCTTTACACCTTTACCCCTTCCCACCATCTCCACACCTGGCTCCTAGCGGCCCCCACCCCACCCCACGGTCACGCTCCAAACTTTTGCTACCCAACGCTCGATCTTTCTGCGCAACCCCTCCGCTTCACAGCCCGTCGCCGTTGTTGCCCTCGCTGTTCACGTGGCGGCGACTGGAGTCGGCGGAGCCCGAGGAGTCTGTCGCGGCGTCCAGCAGGCGCTTCTCGCTGCACGCGCTGCGTGAGGCGCTACCGGAGTCGGGCTCGCGATGGGCGTCACCAGCCTCGAGGTCTTCCAACTCCACCTGCAAGTGTTCAGTGTGGGGGTGGCCGAATTGGCGGAAATGGGTACAGTAGATCATTCAGCAGGTGCCAATCGTCAATCATCGAACTTGTATCATCATTCGCAAGACTCAATTGACTCAACTACTGAATTCAAGAACCTTGTGAGAGAGAGAAACTGCTTCGAACACACCAAACAATACCAAACACCTGCCTGTCTCGTTCGAACTCTGGAAGGGTTTCCCCATGGCATGGTGAACTCACTTCCACACCACGATATAATGCGGTTTTCCGCCCCGGTTCCAAAAGTTGAAAGTCACGTGGAAACCCGAACACCAAGCAGCATACATAGGGAAACTTGAACAACATGGAAGCATGACATGTCTCCCACTGAAAACTCACATAGACTCACAGAGTACACCACTGGTGCAGCTAGGAAAACAGTCGAACTGAGGCGCCATGCGACCCTTTTCGGGAGTGTAGCCCTAGGGATCCAGTCGTACCCAACCTCAGGTACGGTGAGCAGGGAGACTATTGATCTGGCCTCTGTTTAGTTAGGA